AAAAATTAAGAGCTACAGAAAAATGTAGTATGTTCTTTCCTGCAGAACTCCTCTTACATTTTCTGGACAGATCCTCAAGTCTGTCCCATTCAATTGTTCAATTCTTAGACAGACTGTCGTATTCAGAAAATAAATGATGATATAAAGAATTTTTTTTCTTATTATTTGCATCCTCAGATATTCCATTTAATTAGTTTCAGCTTAGTTGTTTTGACACTTATGCCACAAATGTAAACAAAACCAATAGTGGTTGATCTAATCAAAACATAACCATCGATTGAATGGCTATAGCATCTATCTCCTAAGAACAGAAGCAGTAAAAACCTTTAAGAATGTTTTGTGATTCATTTTTTTAAAAAAACAGGGAAGGTTAACAGTACATTTCCCACCACCTGACATTTTAATTTAAGATAGCCAGCAGCTTGGAGATGTTACTGACTGGGATTCAGCAATTTCTAGACAAGATTCTCTGGGCTATAAAATACAGGAGCTAGGGCCTAGTGAGCATGACAGTCTCCTCTGCTCTTCAAACCATGCAAAAACCAGTATGTATGGAAATTAATGGTTTCTTTCCAAATACAGTCAACTGCTTAGTGTAGCCATGAGATGTCAGCACACACCACTGTTTCTGTGCAAACCATTATAAAAAGGAAAAGGTCTCTCAAGCCAGAGCATTCAAACTGTGATTATTAGCAATACAAATGCCAAAGTGGGATGTGACTCAGCAGTAATGCTAAGTCACTTCCACTGCTAATATGCATACAAAGATTGAATGTGACAGTAATATGGCTGCTGAAAGGACTGGAAAAAAGGGAGGGAAAAATTTGAGGGTCTAGTTAGGGTTCAAGCTGATGTGTAAAACATAGGAAAAGCTATTACAGTAAAACAGCACTACAATGTTTTAGTAAAAGTAGAAAGATCTAATTTTTTTGTAACCTAGCTAGAATGCAATCCAGTAGTTAAAGACCTGTAACTAAACCAGGGATGGCTAAAACTCTGTGGGCTGAACCTGGCCTTCAAGGTAGTTTTGTCTGGCCTCCAAGAACGTCTGACCAAATTTCTGTGCGCTTGCAATTGCTGGGCTAACAACTGTGCCCACTCAGCAAACAAACTGCGAGTACTGAGGCACAAGGGAGTCTCTCTTGAGCATGGTTGTACCAGTTCTGGGGACAGTTTGATTCCCTAGTACAAAGCCAGAGCATTAGCTCTAACTTTTCTGGTCCTGAGCTGGGGCAATTTAGTCTGTCATGAAAATGACAGTCAGGAGGCCAAGGGACATGTGATTTTACTGATATATCTTGGATAATGATGAACTGCTTTGCTGGAAGGAATTTACACAATGAACCAGAGAGAAGGGTACCCATATTTATGAAGTAGGCTCAGATTTCTTCAGATTTTGTTTTCCAGTTTTAAATAGTTGAGACCATTGGATTTCATTTGCAAAACAATGCAAAACAAGTGATAAAATTGGAGTTGAGATCCCAAGGTGTCAATCAAGCTTGGGAAAATGTAAGTCTTTTGGATCTATCTCATGGGTCAGTTCCAGTTTTCCTTAACAGCTTCAGTGGGCAGGCACTACATGCCTTGTTGTGGTCACCTTAGTGGAGAGATTCTGGGCAGATTCTGGCTCTCCCCGCCTGCTGACCAATGAGGCATGGACAGAGCATGTCCTGTTCGGTCTCCAACGCCATCCTTTTAAATTTGGAAGGAGGATATTATGAATCACATGTGCCTGCACAGAGTCAGTCAGGTCTATTGGCTTTGGATCAGTGATCAACAAATGCATGGAGCTACTTTAACTGAAGCTGTGTCTGAACTAATAATGTCCCCTTCCTCATCAGAGACAGATATACAGAGACATCCAGCTGCTCTGCAGGAGCCAGCTCAGGAACAGCACAGACCCAGATTGAATCTTTGTGGTTTCATGTCTACATTATATTCACCAGCATCTCCTCTAAACGTCTTGTATATCCACAGTTTTTTCACCCTCAGAGATTCCTTTGACCTTCTCTATCCTTCTCTGCTATCTCTTAAGGAAGCCTTTAAATTAGTGACTAGTATTGGCCAGTAGCTCTGTGCACTCTACCCGCTCAAACAGTACTGCTCTGCTCAGTACATCTGTTTTTCTTCATTTTAAATGGGACCAATTACCTATAAGTTTACTTGCTGATGAATTGCAATGGGAAAAGTCAGTGTCCTCATCTCAGTAACGCATTTTGGGGAAAACACAGCAAAGAATTGGGTATTAAATAAACATTAATTTCAGCAGAAGGAAGAAGCTGATAAGGTCACTTTTACCAAATTAGATAAAGTCCTTTCCAGGATGTTTTCTCTTTCTAGCATAATTCTTCAAAATGTTCAAAGCTTATTTGACTATTCCCAATGATCTTTTTTTCTTTGTGGTCAGAAAGAATTTCAGAGAAATTCAGGTGTTATACAAATATTCAGGAGCAGAAGATACTCTTTATTACCATTGTGCCAGATATTGCAGGAAGCAAGAATGAGAAATTTAGAAAAGCCATGGAAATGAGAATTGCTCTAATTCAATAACAGATTCATTGGCTTTTTAATTAGATTTGATCACTTGAGTATTTTCTATTGTAGCTGCATAAGTATCTTATAAATACCTACCACATGTGACACAGGCACTTCAAAAGCATCATATAAACTGTAGAATAGATCTGCAGAAAAAGTTAAAGAAAAATATATATCTTAGTTCTTCCATGTCTTTGTAAATAATTCCCAGCTCTGAGATGTCATTTTATTTAATTTTACAACATTCAAACCCACTGTAAAATAACATCTGTAATAAATATTCAAAAAATAACTGAGATGATCTTTTACTGTTACAGCTTACAGTAATATCTGAATAACATTGTACAAATTGTATTATAAATAGCTTCACCAGCACCAAAACACAGAAATATTACACTTTACATAATTCACTTAAGCATGTGGAATTTTGGCTACGAAGGACTTTTTTCTTATTCTTCTTATAGAGCTGATTTGGTATGCTTCAACTTGTAAAATGACTCAATTATGCAGTCCCAACATAAGGCAACATGGAAAATATGTGAAAACCAATGTGGGAGCAAGTGAGAATTACAAAATTGGACTGGCTATTCACAAGATTTCTACTGCTCAGTCTATTCAGGGTTTCTAGCCTTATTTCATTCTGATAACAAGCAAGGTCTGCCAACTAAGAAACTGGGATTAAGAAACTTTGTTTTCACGTGACCTTGGGCAGTTTTTCTGCCTAAGTTCTCCATTCACAGTATGGTGGTAATATCGTTTCCTTGTATCTCCAAAGACTGTAAGCTCTGGGAAGCCCCCTGTGACTATTTTTTGTAAAGCAATTGATACTGTGGGACTAAGATCAGAGCTGAGCTCAGTAGGAGTAAATGTGCAATCTTTAACACAAGACATGAGGACAAAATTGTTCTGATATTTAACAGAGGTAGGTAAATTATGCCCTTTGCACTACTGGAGGAAGTACAAGGGACTTGCTCAATGACAGTATGCCTTGCTGACACAGCTTCTGAGTCAGAGTCTTGAACTGTAATATGCTGAAGTCCTCCAGAAATACATGATCTAACAGCTATGTAGTGGAGCTGTTAACACATTCCAAGCCACAGCAGTTGGCGGAACATTTCTTCATTAACTTCAGTGGGCACTGAAGTAAACTTTCTCTGAGTTTTACTCTGAGTAAAAACTGTGAAATGCATCAGATACACCTTCTGCATTAACAGAATTGAAAAAGCAGCTAGTAATAAGCTGAAAGAGATAAATATGTAGCCTGAGCATCTGATAGTTTGGGGTTGGCTACAGTACTTAGTTAAAACATCTGGAAAAGAAGCTATATCCTTCTCTTGCAGTACACTCACCATTGCACTGTGCTTGAGAACTTTACCATCATAGTCACTACCGTCTGCCAGATAACTAATATCAAGTCATTGACAGTATCTAGGCCTTATATCCTTTCATTTTATCACAGCGCCAAAGCTCATTTTTAAGAAATTACTAATTTCTTTGTTTCACCATATAAGTAATGATTTTAGGAAAGAGAACATGATGCTGTGTCTCGCCTTAGACATTACACATAGATGACATAGATTAGGCTTCTGGGGTTCTCTGTTTTGTCAAATCAATCCATTTTTGTGTGTTGTCACAAAGGAATAGTGTAATTGTGGTACAGGAGAGAGGAGGGCCTCTTTAGGGACACACAAGGGAAAAGAAAGATCCTATAAATATGGAAGGTGTACGCCAGAGTAAAGATTAATATTCACCTCCCTAGATGTCCTAGCCATGCCCTAGCGCTGGGGATTATCACTGGAGTTCTCCAAATATTCTGAATTTCTTCCTATTCTGCATTTTTCTTTTTTATTTTACTTTCTGCAACAAACCCATGTTAAGTATGCAATATCAACTGAGTATATTTATGCCTCACACTGTCTCTCTGAGTTCAGATGCATAGACATTATATATGTCTCCAAAGGCAGCAGGAAGATCACACCACCTACCTATCATCTCAGAGCAGTTCTGCTGGTAGAGGCTGCCAACATAACTGGAATCCTAAACATACTTACTAGTAGTCTCAGAGGAGAAACCAAAAGCTAAGTGGACTGTGCATATTGGCCTGCAAGGTACTCTGAGGCACTTTGCTGGGACAGCAGAAAGGAGAAAAGAAAGCAAGAAATCTGCCTTGTTCTAAGCAATGAACAGAGATGTCTTATGAGCTGACAGCTGAAATTGTTTTGGAAACACTAATGCTGCAATGTACTTCTTAAGTCACAAGGGTTTCCTTATTGACACTTGAAACGTTTTACCAATTTATCAGAATCTTTGTGTTTTATAGCTAACTGTGAGGAAAAGGGTTTACGGCAGCTGACAAGATACTCAGTCACAGCCTTGCCACTTTTATTACCCCTAATGACCAGGTGGACCAAGCAATGCACATTTCTAGGCCCTGCAGGGTTCTGTGTTGCAATGATACCTGTTGTTCATAACGCCTGTTCACATCGCCGTTTCAGACCCACAACTCTTGCTGCCAGGAGAAACACAGCCCCGGTGAGCACTTCTGAGACAAAGGAGATCCAGACAAGTGCTAGCGACCAGCCAAACCTGATGTCGATTTCTACCAAGAGTTCCTTACTCCTCAGGAGGAAGACAGCTTCTTCGAAGGCAGCAGCCGAATATGCAATATAGACACTGATCCCAGTAAGTGTAACAAGAGCTGAAAAAGAAAAACATACTCAGCTAGTTAGCATCCACTGCAGAAGTTAAAAATAATTAATTGGATTTCTCTTAAGGCTTCTTTGCCACTCCTTCCTATCTACCCAGGCCAGATTATGAGTTAGTCTCTGTTTGGCTTTGAAATCTAGTTGAGGCAGTTTTTTGGGAAGGGTGAGAGGAAAGTAAAGGGAGGGTAATTTCTGTCCATTGATTTTAATGTGTTCTCACTGTTAAATACTGAATCAAAATGTATAACAGCAAGCCTTCCACAATAAAAATTTAGTCATGTCGTTTACAGTTTTCTAATGCACGTACATCTTTGTTCTCCAATCCTGTATTATAACGCATCCTGATTTCTCATTACTGTGCACCACATGCAGCTGTCTACCTCTATGCAAGAAAGCCCATTGAGAAAGAAATTCTTGTATTTCAGGTCAGTGACCTGAATTTAGGCTGTTTTCTAATTTTGAGTATCATACATTTTGAGTGTTCAATGTAAATGTGTCGGTCTTTACTGTCACCTCCCACCAACTTGTGGAATCTTGACTATTCATCACTTCCAAGTAATTGAGACAAAGACATCCTTGGAGCAGACTAATAATAAATTAATAAAGGCACTCCAACAAGACAAGAAGCCAGATGTTTTCAGAATGAAAGGACTGTACAGAAGCTAGCAAACTTAGGGAATGGCACATCTAACACAAATACATGCTACATCCTGGGCCTGGCATCTATGTCACTCAAAGGACATATACTAACTAAAGTCATAACTTCACGGGATCAGTGGCAAGAAAGATGTGATAGAAAGGCCCTGGATTAAAGGACTGTAGCCCAGGGAAAGTAGATACTGGAACACTTGTAGGACAATATAGTGTCTTATCTGATTCCAAGGGAGAAAAATTTTCGTCTGGCTTTCTGTTAAATCACAGTGTAAGTCTAGATGAGTCTCCATTTTTGCCAGAAAAGCAAGTTTGAGTAGAGGCAAACCAAGACAGAAGAGTATTGGGTTGTCCAACCATCAAAATTCATACTCCTATTCCTGATTTTAACCATGCTATGATGCCTGTACCTTATTCTAGTCCTCTGCAAGGCGGGGGGGGGAGGGGAAACACTTTATACCTTTTGTCAGCAGAAATGGAAAAGATTGGTTTGTTGACATTTTCAACATGGTATGCTGAGTTCTGTGATCCCCCTTAAACGTGGCCACATTTCAAAAAAGTGGGGAAGCATATAGGATATTCTGGGCTGTGGAACATATCGGTTCTGGTATTTTCCAGAAAACTCGGGTTTCTGGAATTGCATCATAAAATATTTCTTTCTGCTGAGACAGAACTATCTAATGCCAAGCTTCATGAACCGGAATATCCTATAAAACTGTGCACGCCTGTTGCATGCATCAAGCCTCAGTGCAGCTGAAACAGATAAACAATACCACCTGAGCGGGAGGCGGGTCTGGTCTCACACCAAAGGCCACGCTGCAGTCTGTTCACGCTGTCCTGGGAAACAGCACCAGTTGTATCTTCAGAACATATTCAAGCATCCCCCTCCTAATACTGTCTTTGTGTTTCCTTTCCCTCTTTGCAACCCCAAGTGTCTTAAAAAGGCACAGTACTCCACTCCTCAGCAGGATAATGATGCTTTGCATTTCACAGCTTTTCATCTTTCAGTTACTATTTGGAGTAGTTTTCAAATAACCTCAGCCTTTTTAGTGAATACAGCTTTCTCATGTTCTAAGAAAATAGAACTTCGTCTTTTTTTTTCAGAAGAAAAGCATAACGGGGAATGGTTGGTCTTTTTAAGAGCATTTCAAACTAAAAAGGTCAGTCAAGACAGCAGCATTTGCTTCCAGCAATCTCTTATTCTTTTCTTAGAAACAGCACCGTATGATCAGGTGATGACAGACAATACTGAGGATCCTCTTTTCTGTTGGGGAAAAATTCTGTTTCAAGTTACATTATGAAACAGTACTGAAAATCTACTTGGAAAAGAAAATGGAGATGGATCTAAACCCAGTTGTTCTACTTTGACAGAATGTTTTTAGTTTTAATTCATAAATTACTTTCTAAAACACAGAGGTTTTGGTTACAGCAAAAATAACAGAAAACAAAATGTAAAAGAATTTTACTAGCTTCAAATTGAAATGTTACACTCTAACTAAAATAATTCTTTGGAGTTTCCTTTTGTGACCCACAGTTTGGGGACACCACTCTAGTTCTAAACTAGCAGTGAAGCTAATGAGGGAATGCCTAGCAAGAACCTTTTCAGGAACTCAATGCAAATGTGTTTGAAAAAATGTCAGTTTTCTTAATAGTTGTAAGATCTGCGCAAGGCTATCGAAACTTACGCTTTAATAATTCCGAAGTCACTTCTCCATTATTCCATTACCCTGCCTGTAAAGAATTTGGGCACTGTGCTGAGAAGGTATTAAATCTTTTGTGTTAATGGGCACAGCAAACATACTGTGTTCAAAGTGTGACTCACTCCAGAAGGATGTATGGTTGTGTGTGATTATTTGCCATTCCTGACTCCTAAGTGGCAGCTTTCTATTCCAGAACCCCACCAGGAGCTGAGCAGACACCAAGTGAATGAACACCAGCATTATTCTGAAAGCAAAGTCTTGCTTAGCTTTTTTCCCCTGGAATACAAAGTGATGTTTCCTAATCTCTTACTATTTAAAACATGTAAGCCAGGAGTTTGATATAGTACCTCCAAAAAGAAAAAGCAGTCCCGTCATTAGAAGCAGTAGGTAGGCCCTGGCAAGAATACTGATGAATCCAGTCATTCCTCCAAAAATCATCAATATCAGGCTGAGGGGCATCAGGATGACAAATGTCCCATGCATGTCTGAAGAAAAATTAAGAATGTTAACATTTTAATATTTTATTATGGAGTTATTGGATGTACTAATAATTATTGAGTGCAGAGTCCCTGATCAGGATCAAAGCCTTATTTTGTGCTGCACAACCAAGGAGGTGGACAATGTCTTGGGTTTTCAGTTTAAGTCAGCAGGACAAATATATGGTATGGAGAAAAAGGTAACATACGGAGCAAAACTTTCACAGGATCACAGGCTGTGTTTCAGAGATGACAAATACAAAGGATATGTCTACATGGATATATTTAAGCAATTAAACTGTTCTCAGATATTAAGCCTAGCTAGATAACGGGTGATGCATTGCATACCAGGTAGTCACTGACAACCTTAATAAAAAGTAGCCCTGGTTATCTGGATCGTACAGGTCACAGTGAGTGGCATTGTTTTGTTTGGATTGTAAGATCCAGCAGATGCTTTGATAAACATTTTCTTTTCTGTCACATACCCTCTGCTAAACTGATCTAGCAGATTGTTGACCTCTTCCTTTGTTGCAGCTGACTGCTGCAACTAGAGGTAAATTTTCCCATGCAGTTCTGATTCTCTGTCTGTCATTGTTTTCTACAGCAGCTTTACTAAGTACATTAACCTGTCTTGGTTGCTTCCTCCCGGGCTAAGTGTTTTACATTAGTCTTTATTGATCTCTATAACATCTTAATAACTGTGCAAATAGATGGTTGCTATGTATTTTTTTGTATCATGCTGTTCTTTCCATCATAAATCATCTTTGTGTCATTGTTCCCTCTCATCCAACCTATTCACAAAAAAACAAAAAAAAAAGTAATTCCGGCTTCCAGTATCCATTTATTTCATATCAGAGTGAAGTACAGAGTTACTGCAAAAGGAAAACTTAAAATCCACTTTCTGAAGGGCTCTGGGCTTCAGTGTCTCATTTAATTTCACAGAGGAACAATACACCATCATCTGGTTCCCAAGGAAAAGGAGTCAGTTAAGAGATCACAGTTTGTGTGTGATCAGATGATCAATTTTTTTAAGTCACTGTATCTGCCCACTGAAGTAAAGGTACTCCACCTGCCACTGGTTAAGAATCCAGCTTATCCTCATCAATATCATTATCAAGATAAGACACAATTGTGTACATATCTCTGTTCAGTTCTAGGACCTTGGAAGGTTAGGAAGAGCCTGCATGGGATCAAGGTAGACACTGTTGATTTCTTTACTTGAATAGAATGTGGTTTCATGACATAATTATTTGTTTTGTATAGTACAGAACATGCTCACAAGGAAAAATGTGGCAAATGGCAAAGTTTCAGGAGGTGATCCTGTTGTTCTTCCATTTCCACTTATTTGGTCTGGTATTATATTCTCATATTTACTCCCACGTATGCACACATCAGGATCAGTTTATGCTCAGAAAGCACTAATTCAGCATTCTGCACTGAAGGGAGCACTTTCCCTCCTTGCTCCTAAATCTGAGAATACTCCCTGCATTTTCCTTCAGCAAAACTGGCCATGGTTGCTGTTGCTGGCTGAGAAACCCAACCTATAGCAACTCTCAGACACTAACGGTCAAATCAATCTTCAACTTACTGTGTATAAACCAGTATGTCAAAACTGTTTGCAAATCTTAGCTGAATACCAAGAGAAGAAATAGCCATGGAACTCAGTTCAGGAGTTTTATATAGTTAGAAGTGGTCGTCAGGGATGTGACGCAACATGGTGTGACAGAACAGATTTGGCACATAATTTAGTTCTTATATTCTAGAGAGGCAGCAGGAACAGGCTAGTCTTCTGCCCCATTTGTGCTTTCTGAGGGTATTAGGCCTGGTTTTGATTCCCCACCATTTTGACATCTACATGTCGTCTTAGATTTAGTCTTGCATGTAAGAGGTGAAAAGGTCTTGGAGGGACAAAATTTGATGCAATTAATATTTTAAAAGTAAGAATGTAAGAATAATACAACTCTGTCCTCAGACCTGGCTTTGCTGGGAGGGAAGAAATGTAAAGAAGCTCATCACTGGCCCTGTGCTTTCTGACTTTCCAGGTGCCCCTCACTAGTCAAAGTTGCTGCTAACAAAGTATACCTCAGGACAGTAGCACTAACCGTTGCTGCTTCTTTGACTTTCCTTTTCATGGTGTGATTTCAGCTACTACAGCTAGGACTGTAACCTTAGCCAGGATAAGTGCAAGTGAAGAAGATAAGGCTCTGAATGTAATCTTTTCTTTTGAAGCGAAGGGAAACAAATCCATACCAGAGTATTCTCCTGAGGAGTGTCATAGATTACATTAATGATCTGTGACAGTTGCATGTAACATCAGAATAACTCTGATTTTTATGCCCTCTTCAGTGAAAATATAGGTTTTAGGGATATCTCAGCTGAAACCCACAAATCCCACTGTGACAGAGCCTTACTTTTCCTACACACAGCTGGGATCACATTTCTCATGAATCACCTGCAGCTTTTTAAAAATCAAATACTTAATATATTGTATTTGGATAAACAGCACTTTTATAACTTCCAGTGTTCTAGTTCAATACTTAATACCCATTTGTCCTTCTTCTATGAAATCTGCAACTGCCTGGGAAACTTATTTTAAAATGCTGCCATGGAAACCACTCAGGAATCTGAATTCATGCCATCTGGCATATGATATTATGCCATTATATTCTTTGATTAGAGGGACAGAATTAGTTTATAGAAGGACATGACTTAAAATATCTTTACTCTGTTTCTGACTTTCATAATTATCTGTGAAAGAAGTTAAAACATACATTTTGCAGTCATATTAGTGTTTTTTAGGTTGTTATGAAATACCTATTTATGCATTATGTATTATACACATAATTGTCGTCATTTTGATGAAATTAATCTAGTATTGATAAAAAACCAACAAAAGCATTTTGCATAAGAAGAGGTACATGCACTTTCCTGTAAAACAAAATTCAGTTTCCCACATCTGTTTCTCAATGCCTGAGTTCCCTGTCAGTCCAACTCAAAAGATTCAATAGTTTAACCTTGAAAATACTGAAACAAACTGATGAATGTTTAAACACCACTCCATTTATTTGGTACCAAAAATACCTTAATTGCTTGATCTGAGTTAATGAAGTTTTATGTCAGCTAGCCAAAGCTGTTTTACTGGAGGTCTGACCAAACATCTGTAAGAATGACATCTGCAGTGTGTGTCCAGATCTGTGAATTTGGCAGACATTTCTAAATTACCACCCAACACAGTTGTTGATGAGTTTTTTGTAACAGAAATCTGTGGAATAAACTAGAAAAACTGGATTATGTCAAAAGTAACCCACTGCAGATCTAGCAGTTTTGTTAATCATTTCCTGTTAACATGCTGGAGCTTAACTGTTTCAAACTAACTTCAGATTTGTTTGCACAGCTTAGAACAGCAAATAGTCTCTAGAAATCTGTAATAGTCACCTCATCAGAAATACTCCAAATAGCAGCAGCTCAGGAGAGCTTAATTAAGGACCTGTTTATCTTCCCCAGCAGTAGCTGAACAGCCAGTTAGAAAGCCAAAAGCCTCTAGAGGCTAAAGCAGAATACTGGCAGTAGTTAAAACTAGTGGGGCTTGCTCTGGAAAGACTTGCCAACACCAGGAAGAAACGGTGCAGTGAGAAAGCCTGTCCTGCTTGCAAGGAAGGAAGGACAGAAACAACTTAGAGAAACAATGAGTCAATGGAAAAGAACTGTTGTCTGTGGCTAAGTGTGAGACTTCAGGGCTTGAACCCCAGGGACAAAAGGACCTGGATTCCCTCCTGTTCAGCAGAGAAAAGATGATGGTGGATGAGTGCTCACAGGGTTGGGGTACCCCAGTATAATTAGCTGAGCTCTGGACTTTGTGTTACACTTTTTGACTTTGTGCTCTTCTCGTGCAACACGTCTCTGAGCTAAACGGAAAGACAAATTGCAAATAGTAAATAAAATTATGCTAGACTTGGTGCAAGTGGGCACTAATGAAAACCTTCAATACTAGGAATGGGTAGAATGATAAATGTGAGTGATGCACTGTGGTTCACTTTCTATCGCTACGATACCAGTGAATTTCAGAATGAGAAGATTCATCAGAAGTTGTCACTCACTAGGTCTCAGCTGCAGTGATGCTAAAGTTATCTCAGATTTCTGTATGTATTTATTGTAATATCTACTGTAAGTACCAAAGCAAATGTTCACTGGAACCTCTTTGAAGGACCACTGCACTGTCACTCAGAAACAAAGCAGATCCGTTCAGGTATACACCTACCATATCAATTAAGTTAGAATTTCTATGTACATCATTTGGGTCTTATTTCACTTGGCCTCTGAACTGGCTCTTGCCAGGTATTCCAGTCCTAGCTGTTTCATTCCGTTAACTTAAAGCCAAAAGGAAATACTGTGAAGAACTATAAGTTCCCCAGGAAAAATGTAATGGCAGCCAAAGAACAAGGCATTTTGGGATTAGGAGCAGGAGTATAAACATGTAGCTTAGTATCACAGAATCACTAAGGTTGGAAAGG